TGCCCCTGCCCAGATTATAGAACGCTGCAACATCCCTTACTAAACTGTACTGATGAAAACAAAATTTAGATGTCTCTGTCCCCATATATCAATATTTTGAGTAAGAGGTTGGGTCAGAATTTGGTCCAACCTAATTCAATAAACACAGAAGTTATTGTTTTTTTGCCCCAAAAATGTAAGGTTAGAGATCAGCACTCATCTAGACTTGATAAAACCGGAAGCAAATTAGTATTCAGGAATATCAGATTTTAATCAGCCTGCTACCTTTAAAAAAATTTAAAAAAAAAAGTTCCATTTCAACATTTCAGAACTGGTAAGAAAAATAACCTATTTGTTTTTTGTGGTTGTTTTTAGTTTAATTGGTTCCATAGTCTGTTCTAATGCATTTTGCACCATATTTATTTTGCACTGCTATAAACTTTTTCATATTAATGCCCTTTTGCACCATTATTTCAACTGTTTTTTTTTTCTCCTACATTGTTACATTCTGTTCACTGCTGCGCTTTACATTGGTAATCTTCATCTACTTCAGCTGCAATCTCATTACACTGTTATAAGCTGTATGCATACAAAATTTTGTTTTGTATACACCCTGTGCATACAAAATGACAATAAATTTTGTCTAGGTCTGTGATGAGCGCCGATCTGTCCAGGGTTTATGGCTCATTCTACCCATAAATTGCTAGAGATAGGCACCAGCCCACTGTGACCATGAAGATGTATGGATGAATACTCCCATACATTAATCGTCTCTGTATGGTCGCAGTAAAAAAATAAATCGATAATCTGCTTTGTGAGAAAAAATTCTTCTTACATTAGTAGTTTGATCCCAGCTCTGGCTCACTGTTGAAAAAATCAGGGAATCTTATAAGGCACTAAATAATCTTAAGCCGAAATATATCCCAAAGACACTTGTTGTGTATGAACCTTGTGGATCCTTTGTTCCATCAAAGATCGGATCAATCACCGTTTGCAGGACCAGAACTAAACAATGGAAGGCAGCATAATAAAAAAAAAAGAGTTAGCACTGTGTTGTTGTTTTTTTTTTTTTACTTTTATCATTTTTTTCTGCTATAGATTTGTTCTAAATGGGTATTTTATGTTTTATTTGATGCATTAATCCCCTATGATTGAGAAAAAGTATTACAATTACTTAATAGTGCCACATTTGTTTCTCCCCTTCTTTATTTTTCTGTGTAGTTGAATTAACTCATAGTTAAATAGGGGTAAATATGTCGTCTTTTTGTTGTATGGGGGTTTCTTTGAATTTGAACATTTTCCCAAAAAGCTATGCTATTGCATTTAGTCAATCCAAACTCTGCAGTCACCGGCTCATCAGTGTGTGTCTGCAAATCCCACAGTATCTGAGCTTGTCATACTCTGGCCCCTTTGAAATATAAAAGATACAACACATCAAACTCTTAAATGTTTCATTACAATACCAGAGGATAAGTTGAAGTAAGAGCAGGACTTAAAAAACATGCATCCAAGGAAACCATATTTGCTGCCTTACATCTTTAATCTGCAGGTCTGCTGAAGGGAGCAGATAAGCTGACAGTAGTTATTTTTAAAATAACTTGTTGAAAAAGAATCCCTGCAGAGTTGCTGGTGTGACAAACGCTGTGAGATGCAGGTTTTACTAGCAATTTATTAAAAATCCTGGGGAGGAAATGTTTATAGAAATTGTTTGGGGAAATAGCTTTCATTCTACCTGTCAGATAAAAAAGATCTTTACTGTTAAATCTGTATATGAGAGCATGAAGAACTGAAGCAGATTATTTTACCTTGATTTTGAATTGGGTATTTTGCCTTTTTGTATCACTAATTATTTTTAATTAACATACTTTATCACTGCAAGTTAATGTAAACATGTCAGTTTTTGAGAAACCTTTCCAACCCTGAGAGATCACATTAATTAAGCGTGAATCTTGGTCTAATTATGTTGCTCCAGAAGGAAACACAGCTGTCAAAATAAAGGCAGTGCTCTCCCTCAGGGTTCGCAGTTTATAGATTCCTCTCAGACATAAAAATAAAAGACATGGCTTCCACATCTAACTGCTAAAGCTAAAACACATTAAGAGCAACAATTTTTCAAGTCACTGAATTAACGGTCAACATTTGCAGCTTTGACAATTGAGCCATCTGCACAGAACACAACAACAAATAGTGCATTTTGCATTGAGCTCAAACCTGTAAGCACTTGCTGTTGATGTTATTTCACACAAGGGACTCATTCTCTTCTCACCAATATGGACAATGGAGCAAAGCTGGAGTCACATCTTTATATTCTCCTGGCATTTCACCAATAAGATGAGAGGAGTGCAAATTGCCCCCCAGAAAGCTTCACTTTAATTGCCATGAATCTGGGTGAAGATTTAATCCTGCCTTTTGCTTTTATTCACTAATTTACTTGTTTAGGCTTGGCTGCCTTAGATCAACGAAGATCATAGAAGAGATAAGAGTGCTTGTTTAAGAGCTGAGAAGAGTAAACCTGCAGATGTTAAAGAACAGACAAAGGAGTCTATAAATAACTGCTTTTATTTTGTGAGGCAACAGAAGAGTTTAAGAGCAATTCGGCATCCTTCAACATGAGAATCTGAAAAGGCACCTTCAAGCACTCCAACAAGAGTCAGTCCTCCTTGCAGAGTTTTTTGACAAATTTGTCACATTTTTCACATCACTCGCTGCAACCTTTGATCCGAGTAAGTCTGTCTGTAAGAGCGAGCGGGCTTCAGCATCGATTTCCCCACAGAGTTCCTGAGCTGCTTGAAAAGCATCCAGAGAAGCAGCAGCATCAGCAAAAGGAGCCCAAAGAGCATCCCCACATACAAGCTGAGATTCCAGCCCCATCCCAGCGACAGGGGCAGTGAGGTGGATGCCACCAGAAATGTTCTTGGGGCAGGCATTGGTTTCTGGCAACAACCTTCCTCTTCCACTCTCAAAAAAAGATCCTCAGCCACACTTGGGTCTTCTCAGACGCTGCAATGTTGCCATTGTTCAAGAAAAATACCCCACAGGTTGCATTAATCCACTGCTTCTCATGGCTACATCCCTGTCAGTCAGTATCATGCTGTTAGTCATAAAGCAAACCTGTTGACTGAAGAGCATTTGAGCTGTCCATTCTTGTAAGATAAGAATCCTCACTGCAGCTGGGCTTTGCTTCCCCTCTGCCAGATGCTGTGCACAACTCAGCCTCCCTATTTATCACGGGGGGGAGAGAGTGAGGTGAATTCAATGCCATTGGCTGCTGGAGCTCCCTTTCAGAGAGAAAGTCACTGAATGGGAGGCATCAAGAGAAAGGCAAACCACATTTTTTAAATCAGACCCCAGCCTAAAGCAATTAGAGGTGCAGCTGGCGAGATCTTGAGCATTCTGAAATGTATTCATTCAAATTAGTCATTTAATTTCCACCTTAAATATAACTTATAAAAAAATTAAGGTATCATAATATGAATTTTTATTTGCAATACACCCTGAAAGATGAAACCAATTAGATTTGGAAAAGATTCTCAGTTAAAGTGACCTGGCTTTAAATTTCAATGCGAAGTGATACATAAGATTATTCTATATCTTGTTTACCCCTTAGGATGAAGTACTTGGACTGCTTTAAGTTAAATTCCATTGGTTTGTATGTAGGCAGGCTGAATTTTGTCTATAACTGGGCTCTTATGTAAGATTACTAGACACTGAAATGTTTTCTGTTGCTAAAAAAGTGGAGAAAGAACAGGAGTTAAATGGGCTTAAAAAAATGTTAGTCCAAAAACTAGTTCTGAAACATTAGCAAATAAAGACATGAGCATAAGGCCATTTCACAAATGGTAGGAATATTTTAGAGCACAAGTTTCAGAGACCGGCAGTGGTGCTTCAAAAAAAATGGTCTATAATCACTTTGCAGCTGAAAAGCAACTTAGTGCTGCAGCGTAAGGCTGCAGGGTAGAGAAGGCTGAAACTATCAAGCCCACGTACACGTTGCAGGAATCTGTACAGTTCCGTAAGATCACATATATGCTAAAGGGACTATTGATAGCTATAGCTTCCTGCCAGTGCTTAAAACCTTGGACACACATTTGCTTTAACTCAACTGCCCCTACAGACTTAACTGAAATCAAGTCTTAGAGTAAGCCAATTACTCTTAAAAAGTCCTAACATGTTAGAAATTTGTCTGCCTGATGAAGTGTAGCATGAACATCCCACTTTCTCATGTTTAAATACAATTTAATCTGCACCACAAAGGACCTTTTGGAGTGTGACATTTGCTAAAACTTTGCTAAGGCTGCCTTCAAAAGAAAGTTGGTCAAAACTAGTAATGGGTAAATGAGGCATTTGGACACATTACCAAACTGTATTGATAGCGTCTCAGAATACTGACACCTGGTGGACATTAAAGGCACTACAGGCAGCTTATTGGACAAACTAAACTGATTTGATGACCTACAATATTTAAGTTACTGTATTATGTCATGTTTAAATTGAAATTTGATATTTTTAGATGCAACCAATAATGTGAAACTATAACATGAAAATTTAGGAGGAAATATGCTAGGATAATATTTTTAAAACAGTACAGTAAAAAGTCAACTTGAATTCAGATAAGTTGAATAACTGAGGGGAACGGTTCCAATACCTTTTAGGCCACTCAGCTTCTTGATTTTAATGATAAACTGCAAAAGATTAGATTTACTATCATGTTGACAGAAGTTTAATAGTTTGAGTCAGTTAGAAACAACTCCTTTATCTACAAACATGAATTTCTTAAAACACTTGCACCTAGTGTCATGCCTTTTTTTGAAGGCGGGGGGGCGCAAACTTACTGTAGCCAGTTCTAGAACCTAACCACTTCCCCCAGACCAATCTGGATAACTTTGCATGTATGGCCACCAAATTCAGTTTTCCAGCCCAAGAAGTTCGATTTCTACATACATCTTTTTCAGGATGGATTCAAACCAAAAAGTATCCTCTGCTGCCCCCATGAGGCCAACATTAAAGATGCTTCAATCAGGTCATAGTTTAAATGGATTTTATTTACAAGAGCCATATTTTACAGTGCAGAGGATGCCTCAAAATGCAGAACCTTAAGGCACCATTGTAATGAGAGATGACCCATTAAGAGACAAATGCTTTAATCTGTATCCCATGAGGTCAAATGGTTTACATCAGTAAAAGGTAAGAACCAACAACCCAGAAAATTAGAACAGCCAGTCTGGGTTCTGGTACAGTGATGGGTCCTTAAAATCAACACTGTAGGCCCAAAATGGCATTTAGTCTTAGAAACTCACCATTTTGTCCTATTGAAAATAAACCCATTTAAACTTCTTGATTAGCCAAAAACCTGACATGTCTAGCATGAACATCGGGATTCAGAGTACAAAAATATTAAAACCTCTAAAATATCTGGCACTACTCCAAAAAGAGCAGGGCTTAATAGAAAATGTTGCACATCATTTACAAAAACAAAAAACAGGAGGATTCCATCACTACGGTGGAGAAAGGAGTCAGTTCAGTGTCAGTCTGGTTGGTGCACTGATGCAGGAGACTTCAAGGTACCTGTAAGAAGCAACATTTTAGCTCACCAGTGATAGCATTAGATTTTGCAATAAACCAATAACCTACTTTGAACTCTTGTACTTCTCCCGGATGGACTGCTGGGCGTGCTGTGCAGCGCCAACATATGTTCGGTGAAGATCCTCAATGCATGGCATGAGATCCTCCAAGGTGTAACCAGTCATCTCTACCAGGGACTTTGGCTAAGGAGGGAACCAAAAAGGCTTGTAATTTAAAAGCCACTGCAGGACTTCCGTGTAGCATGCTTAAGACACTAAAGTATATGTCTTTGAAAATTTGATTAGCCTGGTCAACTGGTAAAATACTTTAGAGAATTAAACCAGGTGAAACTAAAACCTTTTCCCCCTAAGATCTGATAGAGCATACCAACAGGAATTTCCTTCCTCATCTAAAATGCAAAATATTTTACAATTACTCCAACTCTTAAACATGCCTGTCAACTAAAGGCATGTTTAAGAGTTAATTCTCCAGTTATCAATACTAAATTAGTTGAATATTTCAACAATCTGATCGTTACAGCCGTATTTGGTAGGATCAAAAATGTTCCATTCAAAATTGTGCTCAACTAAAGGGTTTCTCCCCTCAAGTCAGTTTTGACATTGTAGCAAAGGTTATCTGCAATTTAACTTGCAATCCACATGCATGGAACTTTGGGCTAGTACGTTCAATGTGTGAGTATACTACCCATTGTAAAGGCAAGGGAAATGATTTTAGTCCAAAGTCAGGAAATGTGAAAACCCAGTCAATTCAGCCGTTTTGCATTGAAAGCAAAAGAATTCACAGCTCAACAGGGCGTCATCTTGACACATTTTGCAACCTACCCACGAGCTTCCATTTACTGTGTTGTTGGCCAGAGTGTAAGCAGCAGCAGCAAGCTGTGATGGCAGGTACTTCAAGAAGGGATCTGAGTCGACTAGGCTGAGCTCACCGAGGTACTGAGAGAGACCACACATTTGGTTTTATTCAAATTAAACATTTCATTGTGATTTACGAATTCTCTTGTGATACCCACCATGGCCAGGCTTTCCACCTGTTTACCAGCCGCCTGATGGCAGAAGTAATGGGTGAGAAACTGGTTTATTGTGGGGGCAGCCAGATCGAAGGAGAGCACTTTAAGCACCAGATGTTCCATCCTCAGAACTTGCTTCTTTGTATAAGTGTCATCTGTGATGTAGACAAACTCTGCCACCTCTGGAGGGTAGATTTCTTCAAATTTTCTGCATTTAAACAGAAAGTCACTTTAATAAGGGAAAGAGGTGCATCGCCTTTGATTACATAGCTTTAAATGGTAGGTACATACGAAGCCAGCAGCATGGCTGCAGTTCCAACAAGCTGAAGTTTGCCCCTCAGGACAGACATCGATGAGAGAAAGCGATCGATGTAGTTGACAGCCAGATAAAGGGTCTCATTTTGGAGCTTGTACTCTTCTCCAACCTCAACTAGCCAGTCCACCAGGATGGCCCTCATGCTGTTGGTTATGTCTGGCTGCTTCTTCATGTAGCCTGCCTTGGGTCTGGTTTTCACCTACAGGAAAACAAATATTCAATCAAAGTCCAAATATAACCAGAGACAACAGAAAACATGTGCTTCTCACCTCCATTTCTCTGAGGTAGGTGTGGATTTCAGCAGCATATTCTGGAACCTCGTTTACATTGACTGGCTTTTCTTCCGCTTCAACCACAGACATGTCCATAGGAGAATCTGAACCCCAAAAAGAGTCAGTTACATTCAGATTATGTGAATGACTTCACGTTTCAGCCAACTTTATTACCCACCAAAGCTAGTATCCATCGACGATGGGACGTCAATCGTAGCCAGAGGCTGGCGGAGCTGTCCCAAGGCATGGGTGATTGCCAGAGGAGACTCTTCCATAGTAGGCTTTTGTTTGCTGGCTTCATTCTCCTTATTAGAGGAAGATGAGTCGGGCTCATCCACGTGGATCTGGAAAGCAGGTTGCTTGGAAGGTGGCCTCTCAAAGCAGCTCTTGGCATCTTCATTTTTGGAAGACAAAGATTGCGATGACTCCTGGAAGAAAGACAGTCGTATCAGGATACTTAACCTGGCATGAGAAAAGGCCATTTAAAACATAGTTCAGTTAGAACTGAAACATTCAGTGAAATCCCAGATTGCAGGAGAAATCTCTGGAACACATGTACCTTTTAGATTATTTGAGTAGGGCGACAAAAATGGCGGACAATGAGGCAGTTGCAGGTCATAGCAGAGTTAGTTTGCAAATAAAAGCCCATTTAAGCAGTTAATTAAGCAATTGAGCATATTTTATTATGTTAATTGATAAGAGTTTGAAGCTTCTTGCATTCAGAGCGTGTAGCCAGCTGTTAGCTTTAGCTAGTCATACAGGCCGTGCAACAGCATAGTTACCTGCTTTATGCCGCGCTGGTTCTGGGCTTTGCTCCTCTGGTTGTTCTGCAGGGCTCCCAGGACGGTTCTGTTGCCGACTTGCTTTGGAGCAAGATTTTCCTGGTTGTCGTTGGCCGCAGCCCGGGGTTTGAGGGAGCCTCTCAACCTCGTTAGCATGTTCTCCTGGTTGTGATTCTCGCTCGCCGCGCTTCCTTGCCTGTTAGCTCCTGACATGTTTCCCTCTCAAACAAAAAAATAACCTACTTTTGGCCTCTTTTTAGATATATGCTCAGTAAATCACGGAAGATCTTTTGAGATCGCGTGTGAGCGGTTGCTGTAAGGAACAGTCGTTTCTAATCAAAACTAAACTGTTGAGATAGCAACACTTCGAACCGAGGCGCTAAAAACAAAACAGACAACAGAGAGCGGATACGCTGCAGGAGTGTTACTAAAGAAAGGAAGGAAACTAGCTAAGTAGTCATTTTAAGCGGTCTGGAAGCTGTACCAACCTGCAGACAAAGCAGCTATCGTTGGACCCCTTTACAGAGAATCATGAAAAGATGCAGCTTCTCCCAGTTCAAGTAGCGCGCGACGATTGAAACGGACCAATCAGACGCCGCAGACTGGATGACGTTGTTCTTCTACGGCGGCCGGAACAATTCAATAAACCTCTGATTGCAAATTCAAAACCGGTTATGGAAACAAAGATCATCCTCAAGAGAATTATTAAAAGATTTGTCCTGAACAAATGTTTCTCAAAAAACTAAATAAACATACACACATAAACGGCTATAGTTTGTATAAAATCATCGATTTTTCAAATCATTTCGAAAATGTAACATATATTTTATATATACCTTGCATTGGGGATAAAACATGCCAATTATGTGAGATAGCTGGGACATTTTTTTTAGCTGTTCCATGAATAATTATTGTAGCAAGGATGTCATTAGCCACATTTCCCCAGTGTGTAAAAATACATAACAATTTATTTAGTAAACATAACTAACAAGCATGTAACCTAATCTGAATCTATCACCATAAATATGATCAGACTGCATACAATTTATGTATTGCAGCTGTAAACATGACAATTATGATTTTAATCCGTTTTATTATTGACCTGCTATGAAGGAAATGTACAGCATTTAGACCATTTAGATTTCAGCTTTAAATAAAAATCCTAGAACCTCATCCATATTACATTTAGAACATCTTATTTTTATCTAAATGTAAATAAAAAAAATGTATTAAACTATAATATATATAAATATATATATATTATAGTTTAATACATGTAAATATAATATCTAGTTATGCTTTAAAGTTTGCACACCCTTCCATTAAAATCAAAAATAACATCTGCCAGCAACCATTAATAATAATAAAAAATGATATGATAGAAAAAAATGCATAAATGTAATCCATCAGGCTTGTTTTTATATATATAAACAAGACCAAAGGAGCTCCTCAACTAAAATTTTGTTGAGGCAATCACTGAAATCAGGTGTTGTCTGTAATGTTTAGGATATTTTCAGTCTGACTTGAGCACTTGTTGACAGGGATGTTGGTTATTTGTCTGGTACTGTTCTTTTTTTTAAGAAATATTTTTTTTAATAAAAATATAAAATTAATATTTTATTTTACGAAATTTTATTGTACTAGTATGAATTGATCATTTTCTTTAATGGGGGCTTGAATGTTTATACACATACATACAAATGCACACAAACATATGCATATACATAACTAGCATTTAGCATGTATTGATTTTGTTGCATACTAATAATAATTCAATGTTATTGCAGACAGCTTTTTCTTTTGAATTGTTGAACATGTTACATCAACATCAAACATATCCTTTAATATTTTATAATTGATCAGGATATACTAGTTTTACAAGCCATACCAAAATATGAATTAACATTTTATAATCCTACAACGTCAATATTCTATTAACATAAGTACTTTCTGAGTACAATAAAATACCTATTTCAACATTAGTTTTGTTTAACAAAGCAGCTAGAAAATAAAAAGTTCAGTTTGGCTTCACGGCTCACTGAAAAAGTCCAACAGGGAATCCAAATCATAATTATCAAGAATCTCCAGCAATGATGACACCTTTGTTTTCACATTCTGCCCCTTGAACTTGAAATTGTCGATAAAAAGATCAGTGATCATTCCTGCAGGAAGGATAAACAAAATAAATGACTGCAACCCAAATGACAAATACCATTAGAATTCACTCAAAGCAAAACATATCATGACTCTACCATAGAGCCTTTCAAGATGTGCTGGCTGCTTCTTGTACTCCTCCAGAAGATCGGCAGACTCGTCCAAGATGCTGCGATACTCTGGGATCAGGAAATCAGCATTCCCCTCATGGACCTGGAGTTCCTTAAAACCACAGGAGAAAGGATAAGAGACCAGGTAATGAATGCCTGAACATTGATCGAATATGTTGCCATTTAACTAAAACTCACTTTGAGAGCATCAATAAGCTGAACTTTCTTAGCCAGCAGTAACTGGTACTCCAGCTTTGGATGGATCATCCGAAGAGTGTGGCCAACAGAATCTTCATTTATATCTGGTAGATACAAAAAAGTACTCATTTTTTTCTTGATCAATACAGAAGAAAGATCGGGGAGAAATAGTGAACCTACCGTATGAAATATTTAGATTAATTTTCTTTTTGGTTGCCTCTTTAGAGAGGACATCTCTGAGTATAGAGATGGTAGAAATGTTGTCCGACTTAAAGCGACCCTCCCCTTTGCTGAAATAATCAAATCAGACATGTAGTTAATAAAATTCATTTAAAAATTAAAAAGCACAACTTTAAATTATCAAATGAAAAAGTATGCATTCACTATAAGGGTGCTGACATATTTGTTTTATTTTGTAGAGAAAAATCTATCTTAGATAGGACACAGAAGTGTTGTTGTATTTAGCTATGTACCATATATTGCATATAGTATATTGTATGTTTTATATATATTATATATATATATATATATATATATATATATATATATATATATATATACATGGTATATAAAAAACCTACTTGGCAATTAACTTCATTCTGATTCTGAATGGGATTAGGAGATTCTTTTAACTGCTCACTCTTTTGTCATGTATGAAGAGAAATAGTCACAATACAAATACTAATAGGGTGGAGGTCTATGCCCAAGTTTACCAGTAAGCCGCTTCCAGCTGTGTGCCGAGGAAAGTGTTCTGGAAGTAGAACGTAACGCTCTCCCCAGCAGGCGTTTTTTCAGGCACCTCTGGCAAACAGAAAACCACCCAGGAGTGAATCTCTGCAAAACTGAACTGCCCAACCAAACTGAGCTGGTTCATTGGCCTGAAACAGAAATGCACACAGATCTTCTTCAGTGAAACATTCAATTTTATCAATGCTGTTTTGAAAATGGACTGCATCCCAACATTTTACATCCATGTGTTCAATCAGTAGAATGGTTATTTGATGCTTCCGTATTGAACCTTTACCTGTCTGGGTCTATGCTGTGTGTCCGCTGGTGGAGGGAAAGCGGCTTGATCTGATACTGCCGAACCTGGCAGGTCTTAGGCTGCAGCCTGGGTGTAATATAAGCCTGCAAGGTTCCATACTGTCCCTCAATGGATCTCACCTGAATTGGGAATAAAACACCTTATTGCTTGGCTGTATAGTACAAAGAATCACATGTTAATATTTAATTGACATTTTTTATTTTTATTTCAAAGCATTTCACAGGGACTGGCAGCCTAGTAGTTAGGGCATAGAGCTTGGAATGCTCAGGTTCTGAGTGCGAAACCCACTCCCACAGACTGCCACACTGGGTCCCTGAGCAAAGACCCTTAACTACACACTGCTCCCCGGGCGTCGCACAATGGAAGCCCATCGCCTTCCAAGGGAATGGGTGAAATGAAGATAAAGTTAGATTAAAGTTAAATTTGTTGCTCTGTACTTGTAAAAGTGTAATGACAATATAAAAAAAAAAAAGAAAAACTATTTCTCCAAATCTCCACAGAGGTTTTGCTTTCTAGGAATTTAACAGGCAGTAAAACAATCTAAAGAAAAATAGCAGGTTTTGCTAAGGACTGTAGAAATATAGCATGACTGTTTCTGGAGAATTCCTTCAGTGACAGATTACTGCATCTTAGATGTACCAAGGAGCACTTCCGTATATGTTCCTCATAGCTTCTTTTGTGCCACTTTTCCACTAGTACCAACTCGGAGCGATTCCCTAGGAGTCAATTCTCTTTTTCAGCTTTTTAATTATAATGATTATGTGGTAGAGTTACACATTTTTTGCACCTGCATTCATTTGTCTCCAAGATGCTTTGTCAGAAGATTGTATATCTATCAATCACTAGAGGGTGGAGTCACTGTTTGCGTTGTGACCTCATAATTACAATGAAACTTGTCTTTTTTTAAATAGACACAACAGATGCAGCTGGTTAGAGATGGAAGCATTTAGAATAGACTTTAAAATCTCTGCTGCTCCCAACAGGCCTAGTGTGTTTAGCAATAAGCTTGTGGATACACAGGGTGTTGATCTGATCAAGAATTAGTTTCTTTCTCTCTAAACCTGCTTAATGAATCCAAATAATGTTATTTTCTCCAGATGCTAATGACTATTTGCCGGTTTCTTACCTGCCCAGGAAGTATTTGTTCCTACAATCATGCTTATTGTACAGTTTTCCTACTGTTCTGTAAACTGGCTGTTGCCATTTTCCTTATCTTGACCTTCTTATTTTCAACCGCATATACCTTTATTATTAATAACTGACGGTATCCCCCCCCCTTCCATAGATGCAGGTTGTTTTTGTCTCTTCAATCTTTACAGCTTAATTTGGACCATTTTGTTATTTTCCCTTTATTCTGTCCTGTTGGCTTGTTTTTTCACCGTCACACATTAATTCCCAAGTGTGCAACATTGAAAGTTTTTATTCTTCTTGGTAACCAAAGTGATTCTGAAATAAAAACTTAGAATCTGTGGCAACACTTTAAAGTATATCATCATAGACACTCTCCGCCAAAAGCAGAAAGAGCCTAAAGCATTACTTAAAATTTCAATGTGTTGATGTGCAGAGCTGATAAGAGATGTACAACAAAGACCTGCTGCAGCAAAGCAATCAGGTGGTTATAAAAAGGATTTGAGCAGGGTATAATATAAATGCACCCTACACTTTTCTTTTTTTTATTTGTAAATATTTTTTTCTAAATGTAGTCCTCTTTCACAGTCATAATCATATAAAATTAATTCATTCAAATTTGACGTTGCTATGTGAAAAACTTGTTTTGAAAAGTTAATGGGGTTAGTAATAATTTTGCAAACCAATGGACAAATAGAGTTTTTTCATAATCACAGAGTGATAATAAAAAAAAAACTTACCTGCTTCATCTGTAAAAAGACTTAAATGTAATAGTTACCTTAAGTTCAAGTCTGGTTGTGTTGGCCTGACATCTGTATGTGGCCAGAAGGAAGTTTCCATTAGGTTGCTGGAAACAAATGTTCAGTCAGACGTCTAAAGGCAGAGCAGGTCTACAGCTGTGACTAACTTTACACTGTGTAGAGCCCACCTCTGAGTCGCATTCGCTGAAACTGACAACAGCTGAGTTTTTATCTACATCCAACAGGTCTATGGGGACATCGCTCTGAAAGGAAAAGAAAGGAACTAAATTCAACATGCATACTGCTTCTTTACATCTGCAACAAGACTGTAGGATTTAGAGTCCCTCTATGTAAAATACAGAATCTTGGTTTATTGTATCAGATGTGCATGACTTTCACAAATACCTGCAGGAGCAGGTTGTCAATGGCCGTCTGCACTTCCAGAGTGAGACTGTAGCTGGCGTCATCCTCGCAGAGGGTGAACTTGTCATTAATGTTGAAGATGGGCACGGCAGAGACGGCCGTGCTGGACTGACTGGTCTGTTGGTAATTCTCACGACCCTGAAGGACTTTAATCTGCAGTTGCTCGAGCTCTGCCCTAGAAGGCAACGGTATGACTGAGAAACAAATGTGCGCTGAAGTCTAATTTTAACTTACGGCAGTGGCCTCAGAAATACAGAGCGGTGCTCGTACCTGAGTGCTTCTATTTTAGACTGAGTCTCTTTGCTCATCCTGACCTCGTCTCCTGCTGCAGCATCAGCCCTCTGGGGCTCAGTGGTTAGCCCAGTCACCCATCCTGAAGAGGCAAGCAGCATTCAATGATACAACTACTGAGTCCAAACAGATTTTGGACTAACTGAAAATGTAATTTTGGGAAATGTTTTGTTTTTGTTGTTTAATATCTGAAGGAAAATTAAATCTTTTCCAACCTGTATAGGTGGCGGTTAAGACCTCATCATAAGACTCCTTCCCCACACAGCCACCTTGGATGGAGGTTACGCTCTCTGTTAATACCTGAAAGTAAAAATGTCACTAAATTAGGGAATCTGTCAGCAATAATGAATATGAATGAGTTTGAAGCAAAATATTGTGAAATAAGTTTGGCGCCACATTAGAAGCTTTTACGTCCCTGAGAGAATCAGTTAAATAAGGGATTTATTGGCTCCAATCTTAAGCATAGAAAATAATTTTGACACCCAGCTGAGCACAAGTTGCTAACCCAATGATCTTCCTTAATTATCAATCATCAGATAACCTGCTGGTGGTTAAACTGATGATTGTCTCTTCACTAGCTAGTGATGCAATCCAGGTATATGTGTATGTCACTACATCAGAAAAACAATAAAAACTGCATTTAAGTTACAGAGGTGCAAAGTTAACACACACATAGCATCAGTAACTGCAGTTTGAAAAGCCCTGATCATATCATAATTCATAAGATAATGTATAGAAATACCTTCACAACAAAGTTTTTCAAAGGCATCTTCTATTTAGGAAAAACAAACGAACTAGAAGGAGTAAAGGCATCCTTATTCTACCAGAGAAAAACTCACATGTTCAAAGCGTAGCATTGGCTCATTGGAGCTGTCAAAACCGTACACTTCCACTGTCCCATCATCCCTGCCAACCAGAATATCATTCACTCCATCTCCAACGATGTCGTAGTTATCAATGCAAAGAATTCCTGATGGACGAAAGAAAAAGAGTTTTGGTGCTTTTAGATGTAGACCAGAACAAGAATACAGTCTGTATTAAAATAAGAAGTGTGCATTTAGTTACCATACAGTAGGTCATGTTTATTTTAAACATAATAAAATCCAAGATCAACTATTTTTTTAAAGGTTACACCATTAATTTTCATGAATACTGATCCACAATAAATTCAAGCTATTTCATTTAGTTCTGATTTAAAAAAAATAATGGAAGCTGTAAGGTTTACAATAAATTATTAAAGGTTAAATACGACCCTCATCCCAGTGATGACTATTTAATTCTGATCAGCCCTTTATATCAATTATACCTCCTTTCTTTTTTTCATTTTCAATTTCCCATTTGGTTGCAGCAGCACAGTCTGTGATCTGAACCAGGCCTATTTTTCCATCTGTGGTTCCATATAGGACTTCCTCCCCTGAAGCAAAAAAAGACATTGTGTTGTATTTTCTTCAGATTAGAATTGGTATGATTTATAATTTCAAAAGTAGACTAAAAGCTGACTTACCTCCATTTTTATTATAAAGTTCCAGAACAGATGGAGGGCCGGGAACTTCAACATCATAAGCCAGTTCAGATCCCTGAAGTTAGAGTTTGATTAAATCACTTCAGAGTAAGCTCATCAGTCTGATGTAATAGCTCAAATAAAGTTAGAGCAGAAGGGTTAAAAAAAGATAATTTATTTGAATGGAATGCTTAAATTAAATAATTCAAAGGTAGCCCTGTTATAAGCATGATTCATTTGGGTATTAGTTCTCCATAAAGAAATGTTTTCCCCACTGAAAAAAACAGAAAATCATCCAGCTAAATACTTTTAGAACTTTATATAAGTTTGAATTACCTGTAAGACTCTGAGAACTCGATCTTGGCAAGCCAACACAGGAAGGAGGTGAGGAAGTTTTTCAGAGGATAAACATGTGATGTCATTAATTTTGTCTCCACAAAGGAAATAGTCTTGGTCCTTGCAGTCACAGTAGTGGTTGTAGATGTAACTTGCACATACGAAAAGGTCCGCTCCTGAGACATTCCTAGAAAAAAACATCGCCATTATATAATTCGCATAGTTTCAAGTCACACAGTACTATAGAAGTCAGGCAAATGGAGTAAGACGGTTCTTACATGGCGTTAATATTCTCTGTGAGGTTTGCATCAAAGGTGAGGAACTGTTTGCCTTTCTTAGTGAATCCTCGAACCTGTGAACCAGAGCAGACAAAGATCTTCTCCTGTGGAGTTCCCACTGCACCTCCAAGGTCCATTCTGGATATTTTTGGTCCAGGGAGTGATTTAAAGACGGGCTAAAAAAAAAACAAGACACTTTACTGTACATGTGACTTTTCTGGATTCAACAACAGTTAAATCGTTTTAAAAAAAATGTAACTCACCACAGCTTCCCCCCTTTTCATCCCAAAACATGTAATAACACCATCATGATCAGCTATGGCAACCTGGTACACAACACAAACCACAGCAAAAAATAATGGGATACTTTAGTATTATTAGTATTATTAACAACTTTTCAGTCATAAATACTGACCAACTGGCTATTTGTTGTTCAATTCCTATTTTATATATATATATATATATATATATATATATATATATATATATATAATAATTTTTTTTTTCTTCCCAAAGTTGTACTTTGTCAATTTACCACCCCAAATCTAGTACCCTGAGACTGTACGCCAGCCGTAGGGAAAGGAGGCAGAGGACTAACGAGTGTAAGAGCCACTATCTAGGATGAAACATCCAAGATCCATAAGTACATCAAGGACAAGGCAACAGATGACATGCTCAGTGAATGTCTCAGACAATGGGGAACAGAAGATGAGGTGTCAGAGACTCCGTCATGGGAGGATAAGCCCCTACATGGGATGTACCACCAGAACATAATCGAAGCGGCAGATATCAGGAAATCCTACCAATGGCTAGACGAAGCCGGACTTAAGGACATTACAGAGGCACTCACCATGGCTGCACAGGAGCAGGCCTTATGCACCAGAGCAATAGAGGCCCAGATCTACCACACCAGACAAGAACCAAGTTGCAGCCTGTGCAACAAGCCCCCTGAGACAATCCAGCACATAACTGCAGGGTGTAAGATGCTGGCAAGGAAAGCTTACATGGAGCGTCATAACCAAGTGGCTGGAATAGTGTACAGGAACTAGGGTTGTCAAAAGTATCGATACTCAAAAAAGTATCGATAATGAAATGTTGTATCCGGATACAATACTCGTTTTTAAAAGTATCGATACAGTGCCACCACCAGTGGCACCTAAGCAGTCATTCATCTAAAGTGCAGAAGAGGAAAATGCACTTTCAGAACACTGTGTGATTGAATAATTCTGTGCACTTTTCAGTTTCAGACTTTTTTTTGTAACAGGTGCAGCTGNTATCAAGCTTGCTTAATATTGTGCACAGCATACAACCTTTATTGTATTTATTTATTGTATTTTATTTATTAATGAAAATATTTCTGTAGAATTTTGGAGCCTTTGTTTTTATCCACGTGGTATCGAAAATGGTATCGAGTATCGAATATTTTCCTAAGTATCGGTATCGAGTTGAAAAGTTTAGTATCGTGACAAACCTAACAGGAACATCTGTGCAGAGTATGGGGTGGAAACCCCAAGGTCACAGGGGGAAACACCTCTAAAGGTAGTAGAGAATGATCAAGCCAAGATCATGTGGCACTTATAGATACAGACGGACCGAATGGTAATGGCAAACCAACCAGATATTATAGTGGCGGTAGACAAAAAGCAGATGAAAGCCATTGTGGTTGACATAGCAATATCAAGTGACTGCACCATCAGGAAAAAATAACATGAAAAACTAGAGAAATACCAGGGGCTCAGAGAAGGGCTGGAGAAAACCTGGAAGGTCAAGGCATCAGTGATACCTGTGGTCATAGAGGAACTGGGGGCAGTGACCTCTCAGTCTAGAAGAGTGCAGTTCTAGAAACAACAAAGATACTGCGCAGAACCCTTAAGCTACCAGGCTTCTGGTAGAGGACCCAAGTTTGGAGGAAAAAGGGGGGAAGACCTCCCGCAATGGGTGAGGAAGTGTTTTATTTTTTTTTTTCTGTATGAGGGAGTTTGTTGGTTAAGTCACTTAACTTTAACCTGTGAATGACGCAGTCATAGAAAATATACAGAAAACAGACAATTTAGATCTGCAGTTTGTTTCAATCATCATAGCACAAAGAAACACATTCTGTTTATATTACTTTCATTATTCAGGCTGTTAAGTGATTTATTTTCTTTGCTTTATTTTGCTTTTATTATTCTACTGTATATTATTTCTTTTACACATCGTGTCAATAAGACCCATAAAAATAAACTTTTCTTACCTTGCCTTAAACCTATGGTAATACCAAAATGACAGTTTGACAGGTAAGATGTTTATGGTTTATTAGAAGATACTTTATCATGCAGCAAATAAATAAAATCTTTTTTTTATGTGCCACAGGTCATGTGTTGAATATGTGGTGCATATACTTATCTGTAGAGACTATGTTTTTCTAAGAATCTGTGCAATGTTATATTTTAGGGTGGTTGTCTAACTTCTTAGTAACATTTAACGTTTTTTTTCCAGCAATATACCTTTTGGGTTGCTTTTTTCCCCAAAGCTGGAAGTAACCTCATTGTTTTCTGTGATGTCACACCAACCTGCAAGACCACAGCACACAATTAAGGATTCGTTTCGGTTTAGTAGGGGAAAACACTTAATTCATAATAGCGACAAAAGTAGCGTTTACCTGAGTATAATCAACTCTATGTAGGTTGAGCTCCATCTTCTTTTAATATCTCAAGCAAGTATTTTAGATAAGATTCCAGCTATTAATATAAATCAGATGACGTATGTTTTTTGTTTTTTTTTAAGAATAGTGTGTTCTTCTTTGTAAGTAAAAAAAAGAACGACGAATTCTTCAAGGTTGGGATTACTTTAAGCAAAAGGATTACCTCGACGTGCTAACGTTAGCTAGCAAGCTAATTGACTAACACGATTAGCTGCCAGCTGTCTCAATCATTGAGCATATATAAGCCCTAAGGCCAGCGAAAGAGCAACACTAAGCAAAACTAATCATTTTTGTCCGATAAAAGAGTTAAAGCCCTATTTAAGGTTAATATTGAAGAGAAATTGACAACGATATGCTTTGTCCATGTGCCATTCGCTAAAGATTCGCTTTAGAGAGATGTTACTTGAAAATGAATCGGAAAGGTAGTTCGCATTTTCTTCTTGCCGTTTGCTCGCTTTTTTCGTTTGCAGACAGAGCCTGAATCAAAGCCGCAGAGAAAATATAAAATTGGTAAGACAATAAAATACAATACTATGCCCACGGCTCTGTCGTTAGGGGGTCGAAAAATTCGGCTGTGCTATACCAGCTGAGGCAAAAGAACAGGATCTCTAAAAATGAGCCGAGCTTCCCACCACTAGTAGAACTCCAACCAACGTCGCCACGGCAACGTTGACTTCCTGTGTTTTTTCTAAGCTGCAATTTCATTAGCTTAAAGTAGACCTGAGAACACTGCATGCTGATTGGTTCTGGGCTTGTTTTGTTTAAATGTATAAGTTATTCGTCAATTCTCATCTTTTTACTTCTTATCCACATTTTTTCAGTCTCATTTAAAATGTGTATTTTTTGTGAACAAAAAAAGTTAAATATAAGATATATTCTTTCATACCATTGTTTAAAGTGCTTATTCCTTTTAAGTGAAAAGATTGTGAGTTAGGCAAAGAATTCAACAAAAAATCATAAAAAGTAGAACATTGCATAACAGTAATAAGGGTTTTCATAAAGAAAAGGGCCCGTTATCTCCATAATACTGGGAACAGTGAGCTTATATGAAAGTTCTAGCACGTTAGTCCTTTATAGAGAGGGGGCTAAACTAAAAAAAAAACAAAACAAAAAACAATGCATCCGCTTTTGGCATTTACTTAATCATACTTAGTTACTTTAACACAATTGTTTTATATCCTACCCTGCTAACATGAAACAATTGTGGTAAAGTAACTAAATATGATTAAGTAAATGCCAAAAACAGTGGCATTATTTTTTTCCGTGTAAGTGCCAAAGTTTAAAGAAGTTTGTTTTTTGCAGTACAGTACACACAAACTGTAACGTGGAAGAAAAAAATACACCGGGCTTAGAAACTCCAGAATCAAAGATGGAAGTCTTACTTCGACTTGACTGTTAGAAGTGGTCCAATGTATTTTTTGAGATAAAAAAAAGAGGTCAGGAAACATTTGAGAGCTGTTAGTTTAGCAAACTTTTAGTATTTTAGATTTGTATTAGCTACAAGGCATGGTCATTAACTTAAATGTTCAGAAAATGCAGTACTGTTTAATTAATATGCATCTTTTAATTAGGTAAAATTTGCCTTTTGGTAAGAATAAATTGTATTAAAAAAAAAACCTGTATGCTCTTTGAATAAGAAGTGTAGGAATAAAGAAATTGATAGACTCAGTAATTGAGATCTGCTAAAAGTCAACTGCACAATCAGAAACTATTAATATTTAACTTCATTCTTGTCATAAAAATGTGGCGTCTCTGTAGGCATACAAGCACATCATATATGAAAAAAGTGACAGGCATTGAGGAGAAGAACCTATGGCAACATCAATAAGCTGTGGTTAAAAATGATGTAAGGATGACATGCATTGTGCAAATGATTTCAAACAAATCCTACAACAAAAAACTATGATACCTTAAAATATTCTTAAAAATACAGCAGATATTATCCCAGCTAAACAATCATTTGGACGACATAGCTACATACTTAAGAATATTAATTGATGGTACTTATTTCAGGAGGAGGAGGCATTCAGACAGTATGTAAATGTAGAAGTTGCAAACAAAAGTACATCTCTCAAAAAAAACAAAAAAAAGTATTCATGCTTCAAGTCTCTATAATCTTAGAATGTTATGTGTCATCACATAATAAACAATTTTATGAATAAATAATGACATGAAAGTAAAAAAAAAAAAAAACAGCCATCGTACAGAGTGCACCAGATATCTGTTCTGCTCAGCCAACATGAAACAGTGAATTTCCAGAAACAGAAAAAAAATATCACTAAGAGACTTCAGTGCTTTACTGGCTTGTCGTCAATATACAGGTAAAAAAGGGAGGTCAGACAGAATAGTTGACATTCAAAAAAGCTTTCTTCCATTGATGGAAATGTCTGTCCCCTTCATAGTTTAAGTCATATCATAAACGGCTGAAAATGAAAACTGGAACAACTTCTGTGTAGTCTAATCAGACGCCTGTGGGGGCCAGACGGCTGACAAAGGCGATGCTGCTGAGGCACATCCTTCTCAAAAAAGCAGGACAGGAAGGCTTCATAATGAAATGCTCCAGAAGAATCCGCAGCTCCGTGAACAAGGTGCTAGAGACAGAAGATGAGGTGTTAAAAAAATGATCTCATAAGCCATTTCTTTAAGACAAATTAACGTACACTTCTTAAACAGTATGCGGTATATTTGCTTCCAGTTAAACACCCATTTAGACAGGAAAACCATTTATTAGACAACATTTGACCTTTCAGTATTCTTATTAATTATTTATTATTTATTAATTATTTTTTACTGTATGTAATAACCAGGGTTCCCACACTGTAGTTGACATCAAATTCAGGGTGTTTTTAGGATCAGTTTTCTGAAATTCAGGTACGAAGGCATTAACCTAAAGCCATCGTTGAATATGGTACAATATATTAGCATCGACTGACAAAACACCCGCTGTCTCATCCCGTCAACTAAAACTCAAACCCATGACTAGTCAAGTTTATGTCATCAAAGAGCGATGTTTAGCTCACTAGTTCTTGTCGGGAAGAATTTAAAAATGCAACTAATATAACCGTCAAAATTACAGCTGTGGGAGATTGAGGTAAAATTAACCATATTTAGTTTTCACGTTTCTATTTTATATAAAAATAAAAAAATATGTAAAAATGAAGGAAATATACAAAGAGGAAAAGTCAGTTAACCCTTTATAGGGCAAGTTAGTGTTTTTGATGACTGGCATACCCATTACAAATTGGTTCTCCCTTCATCCCTCAGTGAGGTCTACAAGCACAAGATCTATATCCAGCCATTCAGCAAAGATACTGCTACATGGTTGATATATTACCTACTGTAAATTAAGTAGAAAAAAAGTGAACAAGTCAAGAAAAAAAAAGAAGGTAGAAAGCCAATTGAAAAGTTAAAAAGTTGATAAGCCTAGTTAAAGCTGTAGTCTGTAACATTGAGAAGAGAGCAGACTTCGACTGAAAATTTGAAGAAAAACAGGTTTCACGCCACTCCCCCACCTTCTCTGCTTCACTCATGCCCCACCTCCAAGCTCCACCCCTCTCACAGCATCTGCG